CGCCCGTGTGTGTGTGTGTGTGTGTGGGTGTTTGTGTGCGTGCGTGCGTGCGTGCGCGTCTGTGCGTACGTGCGTGCGTGCGTGCGTGCGTGCGCGCGCGTGTGTGTTTGTGTGTCTCTCTGTGTGTGTGTGTGTGTGTGTTTGTGTGTCTCTCTCTGTGTGTGTGTGTGTGGGTGTGTGTGGGGGGGGGGTGGGAGGGGGGTGTACGTGTGTGTGTGTGTGTGTGCGTGTGTGGATGTGTGTGTGTGTGTATATGTGTGTGCGTCTGTGCGTGCGTGCGTGCGTGCGTGCGCGCGCGTTTGTGTGTGCGTGTGTGTCACTCACCCTCGCAAGCAATAAGACGCGCCCATGCGTAAACTGGACGCTGAACTGCCAGCACTGTCGCTGGTCTGCGTCAGGGGGGGGGAGGAGGAGGAGGAGGAGGAGGAGGAGGAGGAGGAGGAGGAGGAGGAGGAGGAGGTGGAAGAGGAGGCGGAGGAGGAGGATGAGGAGGAGGAGGAGGAGGATGCGGATGATGAGGAGGAGAAGGAGGAGGAGGAGGAGGAGGGGGAGGATCAGCCTAAGCTACACTGATGCTCGCGCTTTGAGGCAGAAAGTACTTTAATCTATGACGGGTGGGGTGGATGTGTTGGGCTTCTTTACTCGGATGGTGATGGGAGGAATTGGTGGGTTTGGGGTTAACCGGAACCTTGAGCATCAACCCGAGAACTTCTACGTTGCATGGCCACCCGTGCAATTCTTGCTGCAGGCCTTCCCTCCATAGCCATGCACTTTGGAAGCCTGCTGCACATGCGAGGCAAGCCACGTGATCACACTGTAAAGATGCCATCGCACGCCATGCCTTGTCAGCTTCAGCGGCACCACAGGGCCAGCCTGTACCCCACATTTTTTAGCTTGGCAGAAAGCAGCACAGCCAGCCTCACTCTCACCTGTTGGATGGGCCGGGGGGGAGGGGGGGGTACTAGCTGGGTCTGGGGTCTTCCTTAAACCATGAGCAGCAGCCCTAGAACTGCTACATTGCACGGCCAACTGTCCATTTCTGGCTGCAGGTCTTCTTCATTCCAACTGTGCACTTTCCAAGCCTGCATCTCACCAGGCCAGGACAGGCCATCCCATTGGGCCAGTCTGCACCTCGTTTTATTTTTTCGAGCGGCACACAGCACAGCCAGCCTCACTTTGATCTCTTGGATGGGGTATGTGGGCAGGAGTGGTCTGGTTATGAGCGGAGGTTACACACGTGGCACAAGCCGCCAGGTCACACTTTGAAGGTGCTTATCGTCTGCCATACTTTGTCAGCTCTAGTGAGACCTCTTTAGCAGCACAGCCAGCCCCACTCAGATTCTAAATCCTGGCACCTGTTCTGCAGGCCTTTCCCACACAACAAGCGGTGCCACCTTAAGCTTGTGCCCGCAGGCTATGACAGGCCAGCCTGCAGGGCCAGCCTGTGCTCACACTTTTTCCCTGACAGAAGCGGCACCGCCAGCCTCGCTATGATCTTTTGGTTGGGGGAGTGGACTTGGGGCCTGTACCGGGGTGGACGTACCTACTGTTTGGGCTCTTCCTTAAACCCTGGTCAGCAACTTGAGAGCTGCTTTTCATTTCATATTCGCACCTTTACCTTACCGAGACGACACTTACCATTGATGCTGGGGTCTCAGCTGGGAGGAGGAGGAGGAGGAGGAATAGGAGGATGAGTAGGAGGAAGAGGAGGAGAAGGAAGAGGAGGATGAGTAAGAGGAGGAGGAGGAGCAATAGCACTAACAATACATATAACAATCAACTCAGAGTCTACAGACGGATCCTTATACTGACAATACGGATACGAATGTCATTAATGATAGCACCAAAGCATTAAACATACCATAATCGATGTCAGCACACACAATTTCAATCCAATCATACTCGTGCGACGAATAAGACAACTGTTACGACTACTACTACCAATGCTAGTACTACGACCACTACCAATACTAACACTTATATCGATAAACCAAGTGATTGTACTATTATTAATCATGCTATGAGTATTACCCGTATTCTTAACACGACTAGTACTGCGCATACTAATTTAAACCTAGCAAACCACTAATCTTCACTCACTTACCATAATCATAATACTATGAACATAAGAACATACTACTCAACATAATACTACACATAATACTAATGCGACGTAGGCTACGAACGATAACACGAGGAATCCTAACAATCACATGGACACGGTTACTAACTATATTTAGAGGGAGACTATTAAGCACAATGAAGATACGAAGGAGAGCGCTAACCATAATACTGCTCAGACGGAGAACAGGAGGATGAGGAGGAGGAGGACTAGGATGAGGAGGAGAAGGACAAGGAGGAGGCTGGGTATGTGCGAGGAGGAAAAGGAGGAGGAGCAGGAGGAGGAGGGGGAGGAAAAGGAGGAGGACGAGGAGGAGGAGGAGGAGGAAGAGGAGGAGGAAGAAAGGATCAGGAGGAGGAACGAATCAGGAGGAGGAGGAGGAAGAGCAGGAGGAGGAGGAGGAAGAGGAGGAGGATGAGGAGGAGGAGAAGGAGGATGAGGAGAAGGAGGAGGAGGAGGAGGAGATGGAGGAGGAGGAGGACGAGGAGGAAGAGGATGATGATGAGGAGGAAGAGGATGAGGAGGAGCAGGAGGAGGAGGAGGAGGAGATGGAGGAGGAGGAGGAGGAGGAGGAGGAGGAGGAGGAGGAGGACGAGGATGAGGAGGAAGAGGAGGAGGAACAGTGGAGCGATTGAGTGGGCGGCGCGGGTCTCGGGAGGCCTAGCCGCGGGCCCCTGCCGGAAAGCTGCACCCGCGACGCGGCGACCCCCCAGGACCTGAAGACAGTTAGCGCGATCACGGAATATTCGGAGGGCAGCATGGAGGCTCTGGACCTGCAATGTGCTGCCGCTTGCAACGGCTGCGTGCACTTCGCATCTGGAGGGGGGCTGATGCCAGGAATCCCCCGCTGGGAGCTGCCAGCGCCGACGCCCGTCGCTCCGTTCGCCAAGGGCTAGGCCGTCATGTCTTGCAGGGCGCCACTATCAAAGTATCACGACTCGACGGCGGAGCTCCTCCCCGGGCCAAAACCCTGCCCTCCGTGACGGACGTGGCGAACGGGCCACGAACGCAACCAGAAGAGCCCGCAGCCGTGGCAGGCTCCCGCTGTCCTGCTAGGCAGCCATCCCACAAATGGGCCCGACGCTGCTCGCCGCTGCGGCCACGGCGGAGGGAAGGGCAGTGCCCCCCCGCAAGGATCGTGCCTCTCGCCTCCATCCACGACTCCATGACCTCCCCGATGCACAATTCACTACCGACTGCCTCGGCGAAGCGGACCTTCCTGCCCAGCTTCGCGGCGGTCCGCGGCGTCCCCGTGCCGCGCGGAGCACCCTCGGGCTGGCCGCGGCAATCCGAGAAAGCGACAGAACAGCACGTGCAGCGCTTGCCCCGCGCCAAGAGCTCCCAGCCAGCAGCCTGCGGAATGAGCCTCACGTCGTCTGCACGCAGGCGCGAGCCCGAAGCCGAGGGCAGGGCCGCATGAGCTTTCTGCACCACGAACAACTCCAACATATCTGCACGCCGCACGGCACCGCACGTGACGGGGAGCGGCGGCGGCTCCGGCATGCCGTCGACGAAGGGGTCCTGAACGGAGTCCTCGGCGCCGTCGTCGCAAACGGCCGCGCCGCTGTCGAACCCCAGCCGAGGGCCGCGTTGCGCGCCGCGCCAGTCCGCCAGCGGCGCCCCGGCGGCGGGGCACTTCTTGGAGTGCAGGGCGACATTTCTAACCAGCCGAGTCGCGCAGGGCTCCACACGGCCACCGACGCGGGCAGTGAGCGCGGGGCGGGCAAGGGCCTCGCGGCGCGCGACCTCGACGGCCACTGCGCCGCAAGCGTCGCTGCCGCCCAGCTGCGCCCGAAGGCGCACCACCTCGGCCGGCAGCTCGCAGAGCAGCCGGTCTGCGACGGCCCGCGCACCGGCCGCCGACGCGCAGCACGGACGCCTCCGAGCAGCGCCCCGCAGCCATCCCATGCGGTCCCGCGCGGCCGAAAGCGGGCAGATCACGAGTCCTGAGGCGAAATGGCTATGGACTGGATCAGGAGGATGATGAGGATGAGCCTGAGGGTGAAGAGATGAGCATGAGGATGAGGATGAGGATGATGACGAGGATGAGGATCAGGATGAGGATGATTCTGATGACGATAATGGTGCTGCTGCTGATACTGATGATGATGCTGCTGATGATGATGATGATGATGATGATGAAGGTGATGATGAAGGTGATGCTGATGGTGATGGTGATGGTGATGATGATGATGACGACGACGTCGACGATGATGATGATGATGATGATGATGATGATGATGATGATGATGATGATGATGATGATGATGATGATGATGATGATGATGATGATGATGATGATGATGATGTTGATGATGATGATGATGATGATGATGATGATGATGATGATGATGATAACGATGGTGGTGGTGGTGGTGGTGGTGATGGTGATGGTAGTGCTGCTGATGCCGCTGCTGCTGATTATAATGATCATGATGATGCTGATGCTGTTGCTGCTGGTGATGATGCTGCTGGTGATGATGCTGCTGCTGCTGATGTAGATGATGCTGCTGATGATGATGATGTTTTTGACTATAATGCTGCTGCTGATAATGATGATGCTGATACTGATGCTGCTGTTGTTGCTGATTATGATGATGCTGATGCTGCTTCTGATGATGATTATGATGACGCTGCTGCTGATGATGGTGATGCTGATGTTGGTGATGATGATGATGACGATGATGACGATGCTGATGATGATGATGATGATGGTGGTTGTGATGATGATGATGATGATGATGATGATGATGATGATGATGATGATGATGATGATGTGGATGCTGCTGATGATGAGGAGAAGGAGAAGCTGGAGCTTCTGAGGCAAGTCTTCCGAAGTTAATGAGCGACACTCGATCCTTTTTGTCGCCGCCAGCAGGAAGCATTATGAGCCTGCGCAACTGCCACACGTACGACTACTCGCAGAAGCTGGTGCTGACAGCGCCAGTGCCGAGCAAGCTAGAGTCTCTCTCCAGGCCCCGCGCAGAGGGGACGAAGACACTGGTAATGAAGCGGCAGCACAAGCTGAGCTCTTTGGACGACGTCTACGCTCGCATGGTTCCAGGAGAAGGCCGTTCGTTGTCGAAGGTAAGCAGCCTCCCCGTTCTCACGTCTGGGCGCCTTCCCCAGGGGCGAGTAGTACACCGAGAGCTGCATCCCCTCGCACACGCATCCCAGCGGAGGCTGGCCGAGGTCAGGTGATCGCCGACCTTTCGGCGGTGCACCCTGGCATCAGTGGTAGCTTATGCGCCCTTGCAGCGAATCCCTCGTCTCTCGTTCCCCTCTTCGCCCCGCCTCCTCCGACAAAACATCACGGCTGGAGCTCTCGACTCGTCTCGTGTCCGATTGGGATCTTAGGGCCCGAAGTGGGACTCCCGGGGCCCTCTCTGGGCATATATGGTCCAGGGCTTGGGCCCCCCCCCCCCTGATGCCATTGGCCCCCCCCCCCGCGCGATGGTCCCCCCCGCCCCCCCTGTGGGCGTGGCGTGGTGCTGCGCTGCGGTGCCCCCCTCCCCCCCCCCTGTGGATGTGGTGTGGTGCTGTGGTGGTTCAGAAGTGGGCGTGGCGTGGTGCTGCGCTGCGGTGCCCCCCTCCCCCCCCCTGTGGATGTGGTGTGGTGCTGTGGTGGTTCAGAGGTCGTCGTCGTCGTCGTCGTCGTCGTCGTCCTCGTCGTCCTCGTCGTCCTCGTCGTCTCGTCGTCCTCGTCGTCCTCGTCGTCGTCGTCGTCATCGTCATCGTCGTCGTCGCATCGTCGTCGTCGCCGTCGTCATCGTCGTCATCGTCGTCGTCGTCGCCGCCGCCGCCGCCGGCGTCGTCGCCGCCGCAGCCGTCGTCGTCGCCGTCGTGGTCGTCGTCGTCGTCGTCGCCGTCGTCGTCGTCGCCGTCGTCGTCGTCGTCGTCGTCGTCGTCGTCGTCGTCGTCGTCGTCGTCGTCGTCGTCGTCGTCGTCGTCTCTGGGACCATACCATCTGGGGGGGGGGGGCCCGAGGAATCCTGGGACCATACCATCTGGGGGGGGGGGCCGTGAACCCTCGACCCTGGATCATATACTGCTGCCCTCTCAGACCTTCATGGGCCCGTCTCGAGGGACCAAGAGCCCCCGTGCGATCCCCGGCCAGGCTCGCCCACCTCCTCTCGATTGCGCAAGTGCCCCCCCCCAAAAGGGAACGGTCACATCGGGGAGGTGAGAGGTGTCACTCGCCAGTGACCCCGATGCGTCAGCGATTGTCTTGTGAGGTGTTTTGTGATCCCCGTGTCAGAAGTTTGTACGCCAGCCATGCCCTAATGGGATTGCAGGTTGTTCGGGAAGGGTTTCGGTGTCAGACGCTGTAGAACAATTTCGCGCGCGCGATGTGACCTCTCAGTGCCACGAATTCCGCAATGCCAAACGGGAATATGACACACAGAACCTCGCGCGCCGTTTGTCCCTTGGGACAGGGTGACATCGCATGAGGTGTTTTCTATATTTATTTGGGCCCATACCGTGAAAGCGTCGAGCCTGGAATGGATCTCCAGTCTGTCTCTTGGTGCGGCTGCCCTGCTTCTTCCTGCCTCCTTGCCGTTGTCTAGGCTCGTGCGCTCGCTCGCGCGCGGACGCTTTGGGAGCCAGAGCTCGGATCAGCACTTCAATCGTTTCACTTGCGACGCTAATGTTTCGCGAGCGGGCTAGCTGATAGCCCTTACGCCGGGATTTCGGCAGCTGGTGCACCACTGTAGCCTGAGGCATGGAGACTGGTGTCGCATAGCGTTCGACAAACCGCTACATTCTTCGACTCCCGATGTCGATGTCCTCCTCACTCCATTCACAAGCTACATTTGTGGAGGTCCGCACAGGTCAGGAGTGCCTATTGGTGTGCGTGTGTATGTGTGTGTGTGTGTGTGTGTGTGTGTGTGTGTGTGTATGCGTGTGCGTTTCGTCGGTGGTGGTAGGGCCCCCCTGGGATCTGGCGCCAGCGAAAAAGTCAGATAGGGGTGTCTAAGCCTGCCATTTCGAAGACTGTTTTGACGCCTCGCGTATCCCCTGCAGTCCATCCAGAAATAGCTTCAATGCAAGTTGTCGCAAACAGAGAAGTGGAGGAGAGTCGGTAAAGCAAGTCTTTAAATTCTTAACGCTTCGCGCATCCCCACCAGCCCATCCAGACACGATGCCCAGTGGAGCTGCCCTGGACTCTTAGAGGTATCTTGGGTTGTCTTGGAGCCTTTCGCGGGCTCCTGGGATACCCCATTGGAGCGTCTTGGGTGCCTACGGGGGGCCTCTTGGGGGCCTCTTCGGGGCTGGTTCGGGGGCCTCTCTGGGGCTTCTTGGGGGCCTCTTAGGACCCTCTTGGGGCATCTTCGGCGCCTCTTCGGGCCCTCTTGGGGGCGTTTGGGGCCGTCTTGGGGCCATCTTGGAGGCGATCCGTCAAAGATGGGGCAGGGGTCCTGATTAGCCTCGCGCCCCCACAGGAGGCAACCATGGGCCCCAGACCGAAGGCACATTTATGTCTCTGCCTTCTCGCTGAGGCCATCTTGAGCACTCTGACCGCCCGCGGACCCCCCCGCCCAGACCCAGGGGGGAGCAGGTAGGGGGAGGGGTCAAGCTACCCCCCCAGACGCAACCTGTTTGGCTCACTCCCACCAGCCCTCTCAACGCATAAGTAGTACCCCGAGCCTCCGCATACTCAGCGGTCGTCTTTGGATGGGTAGCTATCGATCAACCAATCCAGGCCCCAGGTTCGAGACGCTGGGGCGAGGTGCGCCACGAATGCCAGTGCGCCACGCGTACCAGGCGCGCCGGGCGCCCCGGTGGCCCAACCGTTCCAGGCACACTGATGCGCCAAATGCGCCACGTGCTGCACGTGCGGCAAGTGTGCCGCACGCTCCAGCCGCGCCAGCTGCGCCACCTTCGGGGCACGGGCAGAGTGTGCCAAGTGTGCCCGCGCACATCGGGAAACATGTCGGCCCCCACCATTCTTGTCGAACGCCAGTGTCAAGTCGCGGCGGAGTGGCCATCATGGCTTCTGGTTGGCCTGCGCACAGTAGGCAAAATGCCAGCACCCCAGCCGTCCCTGTTAAAAACAAATGCTCAGTGATCGCGGGGTGCCCGCGCATGATCCAGATTTTGCCGCGAAATGCAGTTTGTGTTATTTTTCGCATTCCTCCGTTGTGAACAAAGCACCGGTCGCGCCCTTTCTTCCTGCCTCCCTCCCTCCCTCCTTCCTTCCTTTCTCTTTCTCTCTCTTTCTCCATCTCCCTCCTCTTGTCTCTTACCTTTCTCGTACTTGCCTCCGACCTCGCCATCCCTGCGGGGCTGCGAACTGCGAACATGTCGCCACATTCGACGGCTGCTGGGGGGTCCAGCGGAGTGACGTCGTACGAAGATCAGAGCGGATCCTCACCGTCGCTGGGGGGCTGCGGACGGTAGAATTGTCCCCACTTTTGAGGGCTGCTGGGGGTCCAGCGGAGTGACGTCTGACGCAAATCGGAGCGGGACCTCGCTGTCGCTGGGGGGGCTGCGAGCTGTGAATCTGTGGCCACTTTTGAAGGCTGCTGGCGGGTCCAGCGGAGTGACGTCTTACGCAGCTCAGAGCGGGACCTCGGCGTCGCTGGAGGGTTGCAAACTGCGAAGATGTTGCCACTTTCCAGGGCTACTGGCGGGTCCATCGGAGTGACGTCTTACGCTGATCAGAGCGTGACCTCGCCGAATTTTGTTTGGGTGGTGCGATCTGTTAAGATCTCGCAACTTTCGGGGGCTGCTGGGGGGTCCAGCGGAGTGACGTCTTACGCAGATCAGAGCGGCACATCGCCGTCGTTTGGGGGCTGCGATTGCCGAAGCTGTCGCCGTTTTCGAGGGCTGCTGGGGGGTCCAGCGGAGTGATGTCTTCCGCAGATTACAGCGGGACCTTGCCGTCGTTTGGGGGCTGCGATTTCCGAAGCTGTCGTCGTTTTCGAGGGCTGCTGTGGGGTCCAGCGGAGTGACGTCTTTCGCAGATCAGAGCGGGACCTCGCTGTCTCTGGGGGGCTGCGAAGTGCGAATCTAACACCACGTTCGACGGCTGCTGGGGGTCCAGCGGGGTGACGTCTGACGCAGATCAGAGCGGGATCTCGCCGTCGCTGGGGAGCTGCGATCTGAGGAATCGTCCCTACTTTTGAGGGCTGCTGGGGGTCCAGCGGAGTGACGTCTTACGCAGCTCAGAGCGGTACCTCGCTGTCGCTGGGGGGACCTACGAACTGCGGAACCTTCGCCAGTTTCGAGGGCTGCTGGCGGGTCCAGCGGAGTGACGTCTTACGCTGATCAGAGCGGGACCTCGCCGCCGCTGGGGGGCTGCGGTCTGCGAAGTTGTCGCCACTTTCGAGGGCTGCCGGGGAGTCCAGCGGAGTGACGTCTCACTCAGATCAGAGCGTCACCCCGCCGTCGCTGGGGAGCTGCTCACTGCCAAACTGTCGCCACATTCGAGGGCTGCTGGGGGTCCAACGGGGTGACGTCGTATGCAGAGAGCGGGGCTTCGGCGCCGCTGGAGGGCTGCGAATTGCGGAACTGTCGCCACTTTCGAATGGCTGCTGGGGGGTTCCAGCGGAGTGACGTCGTGGCGGGAAAGCCGTATCACCATCACATATGGCTTTTGGGGGGATTTGGGGTGGATATCTTTGTAGTGTAAGAGTCTTGCTTGCGTTTTTAGTCTAGTGTATCTATTGTGTGGGATATGCAAGGTGACGCGCGCGTCGGATTGTTCGTCAGAGTCTGAGAGGGATTCTTGGCGATGCCATATTCGCCCGTTGATTCAGGTGTTCGTGCTGCTTTCGCTCTCGTTCGATATAATTTTTCCGCGTAAGATTTCTTCAGATCCGATCTGTGTTTTTTCAGGCCGCAAGACAATCTCCTCATTTCCTGCGCCCAGTTCTCTGCGCATGCCCCGCTGTTTCCCCATCCCCGCGCCGCCTGGGCTCTTCGCGCGCGAAAGCCCAACGGGAATGCGAACGAACCCGCTGCCACTCAGAAGAGGGCAATACTAATCTGCGCCAGCACCTCAAGCAATTCCTGCGCAGATTGTATTTCCTGGGTCTTCTCTCTTAGGGCGCTGCCTCGAAGATGGGGCGGAGCACCCCTTCTCCAGGCCGAGCGAGGACGTCGGGCAGTTTTATTCGGTCATTCATGGTGCGACTCAGTAGCGCGTGGGCGTAATCCACTTCGATGTGCAGTTTGTCCTCCTGTCGGTGCCGCTCGCGATAAAGCGCTAGTGGGTCCTGAGTGTCTTCCTCGGGCCGTCTCAAAGAAAACCCGCGATGCTCTTTCCAAAGTCCCCCCCCCCTTCATTCTTCTCCTTTCTTCCTTCTCCGTCGCCCCTGCGATCCGCCATCTTTTCCTCCCCTCCGTTAGACGCCCGAGGCCCACTGGCGCGCCTTGGGCGTCGAGCCCAAAGCAGCCGCAGCCTTTGCCTTCGCAGCGGGCACTGCCCCGGGCTTCGCCGCGGGGGCCGCGGCCTTGCTTTTCGGCGCCCTCGCCGGCCTCCAGGCCAGGCCACGGCCGGCGAGGAGACGGACCGAGCGGTCGAGTCGCAAGAGGAGAAGGACATGTGTCATCGTCGCGAACCCAACGCGCAAGGCGGCGCGCTCAGCGGTGCGCGCAGCGGCGCGCCCAACGGCGCGCCAAACGGCGCGCGCTACATGGCACGCACATGGCGCGCCAAATGGCGCGCTGACCGGCGCGCTACACGGCGCGCTAGACGGCGCGCTGAGGGGCGCGCTGAGCGGCGCCCCAACGTCTGCGCCGAAGCGCAATCGCGAAGGGGCCGTGTGCCACTCGGCGGGCGCCCGGAAGCCCCTCCCGCGGTAGACTGCGGGCGGAGTGCGCCGCTCAGTTTGCATTTGCGACTTCGATGTGCGTGCAGCTGCGCAGTCAGCCAGCGATCGAGTGCGATTGGAAACTTGGGCTTCGGCGTCGGCCTCCCGCCGGGCTGTCGGAAGCCCGTGTGCAGGATGGTCCCAGGCCCCTGCGAGCCGAGAGGGGCTCGCCGCCGACCCCGGCAGAAGCGGAGCGGGAACGCCGCAGGCCACGCCGAGTCACGCACAAGCTCCGCGCGAGCTCGTGGCCCGCGGCCGCGCAAAAGGGCGCGCTGAATGGCGCGCAAGAGGGCGCGCGAGACGGCGCGCTGAAGGGCGCGCTGAAGGGCGCGCTGCGTGACGCGATTGGCGGCGGGCTACAACGGCGCGCAGAGCGGCGCGCTAAGCTGCTTGCTGCATAGCGCGCCGAGCAGCGAATTGGCCGGCGCGGCCTCCAGGGCGCCGAGCCGTGGCCGCCCGGGCTAACCGTGGACGCGCCGCGCCACTCCGCGCGCGCCCCCCAGCGGGCGAGACCTTTCAGATGCCTGTTCGCCGCCGCCGGGCCCTGGCGGGTCTTCGGCGCCCTCCAGATGGGCATCGGGCATGCCCGCTGCGCGCCCTCTTCAGACCCCGGCGGAGAACAGTCCCCCGCCCCCCCCCCCCCCCAGGAGCGACCCATGCAGACCCCAACGGGGCAGCGACGAGGCTCTGGCAGCACCAGAGAAGCCCCTGAAAACGCATGCTGGGAAATTCCAAGCAAGCCCGCGATCACCGCGAGGCGGGACCTCTTGCCGACGAGGGCGAAACCGTGTATCCGCCAACCACGTGCCCGTGCCCCAAACAGCCCTTTTATGCTTCCGTGGTAAAACTTGAACGCATCCAGAGGAAAAACAAAACTTTGCGTCGCGCTTTCTTCTCGGCGCGTCGCAGTTCGCGGCGGGCGCGCTTGCGGGCGCGGAGGGGGCGTCCGGGAGTTCGGGGGGCAGGATGGAGGGGAATGGGCACGGGGCGGGCGCAGAGGAGGAGCGGGGCGGGGTGGCGCGGGGTGGGGGTGAGGGGGGGTGCGGGGGGGAAGCGCGCGCGCGTTATTTGTTGTGTGATTATTTGTTTTTCGTGCGGTCGCCCTGTCCCCGTCCCTTTGCCGCGGTTCGTTGTTCTCCTGGCGCTCCCCCACTCTCCCGTCGCCTCGCCGCCCGCTGCCCCCCCGTTGCCGTTTCTCCTCTGCGCGGCATTCCTCGCCCCTCGCCCGTCGCCCGCCGCCCCGAGCCGTTGCGCGGCCCGCGGGGCCACGTCTTCCACAGTCGACAAGCCACGTCCGTCGAGCATGTGACGGGCCGCTCCCGCAGCGAAGTGGCGTCTGACGCAGACCGGAGCGGGGCCTCGGCGTCGCCGGGGGGCTGCGAGCTGCGGAACCGTCGCCGCCTTTCGGGGCTGCGGGGGGTCCAGCGGAGTGGCGTCCTCTGCAGGTCAGAGCGTCGTCAGGGTAATCTGGTACGTCGTCAGGGTAATTTGAACGGGATGCTGGCCCTGCGCGCGGCAGGCCATATGCTGGCAACCCGCCATCCCTGTCACAACCATGTGCAGTTGTTGGTGACGCAGTTGTGAGCATCGCTTTCGGTGGAGCCCCCGCTGTGGCCACGAAGCGCTTGGGGTGCGTGCTGACAGATGTGCCTGGGGCGCGTGCGAACGGTGCCGCAAGGTGGAGCTCTCTATGGGGGCGCGAAGTGTGCGTGCGCGGGCGGTGCCATTGGGAACTCCGGTGGAGCTCTCTGTGGGGCCAAGAAGCGCGGGAGGGCGGGGACGCGTGTGAACGGCGCCGCTGGGACCTTCGGCGGGCCTCCCATAGGGCCACGAAGTGTGCGAGGAGTGCGCAAAAATTCGGTGGGGCTCCCTATGGGGCAACGGGGCGTGTGAGGGGTGTGCCCAAAGTGGGTGGCGGGGACTCGCGCGGACGGTGCCGCCGTGGCCTTCGGTAGACTCCCTATGGGGCCGCGAAGCGTGTGAGGGGCGTGCCGAAATTGCCAGCGGAGACTCGTGCGGAGGGCGCCGCTGGGACCTTCCGGTGGGGCTCCTTGTGGGGCCACGGAGCGTGTGAGGGGCGTGCCGATGTTGGTGTCGAGGACGCATGCGGAGTGCGCCGCTGGGACCTTCGGTGGTGCTCAGTACAGGGCCACGAGGCGTGTGGCGTGTGTGCTGACATGGGTGGCGGGGTCGCATGCGAACTGGGCCGCTGGGGCCTTCGGTGGAGCTCCGTATTGGGCCACGAAGCGTGTGGAGGGCGTGCCGGAATTATTGGCGGGGACGTATGCGGACGGAGCCATTGGGACCTTCGGTTGGGCTCCCTATGAGGCCACGCAGCGTGCGAGGGCCATGCCGAGCTTAGTGGCGGGGAGAGGGTGCCACTGGGACCGTCGATGGAGTTCCCCATGGGGCCACGACGCGTGTGAGGCGCGTGCCGAACAGTGGCGGGGGCGCATGCGGATGGTGCCACTGACGAAGCGTGTGAGGGGTGTTCCTAACTAAATGGCGGGGATGCATGCGAACGGTGCCGCTGGAACCTTCGGTGGAGCTCGCTACATGGCCGCGAAGTGCGTGATGGGGTGTGCCGAATTGGGTGGCGGGGGCGCGTGCGGACGGTGCCACTGGGACCTTCGTTGGAGCTCTCTCTGGGGCCGCGAAGCGTGTGAGGGGCGTGCCGAAAATGGGTGGCGGGGACACGTGCGGACGGTGCCACTGGGACCTTCGGGGTTGCGGTGTCGCATTCTCATTGCGCCACTGGTACACCTCCCTATGGGGCCGCGAAGCGTGTGAGGGGTGTGCCGAAACAGGTTGTGGGGACGCGTGCAGAAGGTGCCAGTGGGACCTTCGGTGGAGCTCCCCATGGTGCCACTAAACGTGCGAGATCTGTACCGAAAAGGGTGGCGGGGACGCATGCGGACGGTGCCATTGGGACCTTCGGTGGACCTTCCTATGGGGCCACGAAGCATTTGAGGGGTGTATAGGCATTGGTGGCGGGGACGCATGCGGACGTTGCCACTGGGACCTTCGGTGGAGCTCCCCATGGGGCCACGGAACGTGTGAGGGGCGTGCCGAACATAATCATGCGGTGGGCAGAGGCAGCAACGGGGGGAGGGGGGGCAGCGGGAGAAAAGAAGGAGCGTTGGGCGTTGTCTTTGCAAAGCGAGGACCCAACACCACAGGATGGTTGGGAACACCTTGCTCGCACCCCCACCGGATATTATCCATATTTGGCCGCAATATGTATTCAACCTTGTTTTTTAAGAAGGGGTGGCGCGGGGTCGTCATTGGCCCTGGTTTGTCGCCTGTCGGGTGGGGGAAGGGGGTGTATACTAATAAGAAGCAAATTGAAACCTATCACCGAAGGGAAGAAGAAGGTACGTAGGATGGAAAAGGAAACGCTCTGACTATCTCAGTCCAAGGGGACGGTGTGGTTTTGTTTTTCCTGGCAAGCCGGGACTTCCCACGACAACACGGGGCTTTCACTAGCAGCTTCATCATAATCGCAGAGAAACTACTTCTTGGACGCTACTTGGACGCTGCCGAGAGGCTTCCTGGATGCCCGCATGCCCGTGCGCC